ATGTTGACCAGGATGGTCTCGATCTCTTGACCTCGTGATCCACCCGCCTCGGCCTCCCAAAGTGCTGGGATTACAGGCTTGAGCCACCGGGGAGCTTCTTTTCTTAATGAATATTAATGAAAGCAGGGTAGGAGCTTATAGCTGCCAGCAGAGATCCTGCCACCAGGAGAAGAGACGGTACCTCCTTGAGAAACACAACAAAGGAAGAGCTGAGAAATGAAAACAAACTGAGACCTGATGACAGTGTATAGGCCTCTGAATCCAACTTTACCTGAAGCTGAATACTCCAAGATTTTCATTATATAAATCAATAAATTATGTTTTTGCTTGCATAATTTGAATGTCAAGCATCAAGCAGTTGAAGGAGTTCTAATGAATACAAGGACTCTTCCTTAATTTTTTGATTTAGATATTCTAAATAGGAACAAATCAAAGAAGATCAAGTTAGAAAGCAAAGGACAAATTCTTTGCCAAATGGAAAAGCTTTGAACCCCAGAAACTTAACCAAGGTGTGAATTTTCTTCAGAGATTTTTATGAGCATTCAAGATCAAGCTAGTATGGCCTCAGATGAGAAGACACATGGTAACTTGAGAAATAAAAGGGATATATAATGAAAGATGTTAGTGAAATCTCATTCACTGACAGTAACGGGTGTTGCATGCATGTTCCTAAGACATTACAAAAGTTAAAATTTAAATTCGCATGTTAATTTGTAGAGAACTTGATGGCAAATTTAAGTCTTCATAGCAAATTTAAATATTAGGAAAACATGAGGATATATGTGAATGTTAAAAGAATATGAGAGAAAAAAACACTGATTACAAACAAATATCAGCGATATAGTGAGGTCTCATTATGTGCAAACTATGAAATACAAAGAAGTATAAACTGCTGAATTTCATAGCTGGAAATGTTCTCTAATGCTCCCCTCAGTATATAATTTAGGTGGGGACATAAGGGATTATTTAACCTTATCATCAAAGACCCTGGTATTGGGCTAAATCGAGTAAAGACGAGGGCTAGCTCTATAATTTTGGATTTTGAAAGTCCATGCTCCCCATCCCTTCCGAGAAGATTTGGATAAGAAGCAGCAAAACTGAAAATCAGTTCATCTATTTACTTTCCATAGGACTTCCTGAATGGCCTGTGTCATGATCAGAGAAATTGAATGGGAATTAGCTACATAAAATTACCTGGCAGGGAGTTCAGGCATCTCTGCACTATCACTCTTTAAATTGGGATTTGAAACTAACAGGGCCAAATCACCCTGTCACCTAGTTGCAGTAGCCTCTGCAGCCAATAAAGGAAAGAATTTCTACAAACAGACAATTTATACGACTTGCACAGGGTCTTTGGCAGTTCGGTGGCTACCTAGTGGAGAGTCCTGGGGGCATGGCTCTGGGAGTAAGCTTTTCCAGCGAGCATCAGTGAGTCAGTAATGACATGCTATGTTGGGAAAAGCCACCCAACATCTTAAATACATTTTTCCTGTGCCAAATAAATGCATGTATTGAGCCATACTATGTACAAAGCACTTTGGGGATTAAAAGTTGAGAACACTAGGCCAGATCTCTCATGAGTTTACATTCTTTTAGGAGAAATTAAGGACATAAGCAAGCCACAAGTGAAATGCCAAAAAAAAAAAAAAAGAGGGCGAAAATCAAGTTTTCTGTTCATTACAATTCAAAAGAAAGATTTCTTCCAAGGTAAGAAGAGACACCAGGAAGACTTTAAGAGGCCGCATCTGAACCAGGCCTTAGGGCTCTAGGATGAGAGAAGGGGTGAACGGAAGGAGAAAGAAACAAGAAATAGTATGTGCCAAGTGTGTGGTGCCAAAAACAAGGCCAAATATTAAATGCCTGGAGCTGAAAGAAAAACGTGATTCCTCTGGCCTATAGTTAGATAAAGTTTTCTATCAGAGATGAGGTTTTATTTAGAGGAAAGTAGAAAACAGAAGCAGATGAGGAATGATCGAGGATGTACAGCATAAGGTCAGGGAGCAGATAGGTCTGACAGAGAGTGAAGGGTAACGTGAGCTGGAGAGGAAATTGGAAGCCACTCAGTGAAGCTAAAAAGTCAGCCAAAAGCATTAGATTCCCATGAGAAGTCATAATTTTCTGAGTAAGACAATTCTCCTAAAGTGTTGACTCTCTAGGCACAAGCAGCAACAGCATCCTTTAAGAACTCATTACAATTTGAATTTTAGGACCTGATCCCAGACTACAGAATCAGAAATTGAACAAACTGTTTTAATAAGCCCTCTAGATGATTCAGCTATACACCAGCATTTGAGAACGCTGTGACTTACATGATTATGACCCTTAAGGGAATAGCCAAGTTTCTAAAAAAGATAACTTAATTCTAACTCCTGCTGCTGTTTTACAGAAGAAATCTCTGGAGACAGAAACTAATCTCTTAAAATTATGTAGATACATGAGTTTGGTTGAGGAAAAATGTACATAGTTCACATTCCCTCAGTCTCTCCCTATAGTCCAAAGTTTTTGAGCAAGAAATCTGCAGTGTATTGATTTAAATTGATTCAAAGTGTTTATGAAACTCTTAAGAGACTAGTTTTAGAAATTTTACTGTAATTTCTGCTGGGATAAATTCGTTAGGCTGGAATATCTTCCAAAGATAAAGTGGATTCTTGAATATGTGTAAAATCATGCAATTACTAACAGAGACTTTGCTATAAGGGGTACTTACATCCTATCGTAATTTTATTAAAGGAATACATGCATCTCTCCTTTTTGTATGTACAGAAATATACCGTTTAACCTGAGGAAGCTGACTGAAACAGGAAAAATAAAAAAGGAAAAGCACTCGACCCATGTAATACTTAATTTTTATAATAAAGTATCCTCTTTAATATGCCTATTAGATTATCCTGAAGTTCTCTATTTACTCTTTTTAAAAAAATCCAATGAAGAAAATTTCAGTAGTTTGTTTTGCTTGAAGAATCAGGATTCTTGTACTGAGTTGTCTAATGATATGAATCAAATTGATTTACACTGAATGAGCTAGCTCTTGATTTGGTAAAATTCAACAAGCATTTATTGAATTAGGTGCTTTCAGAAATACCAAGATGCAGCAAACATTGTCAACTGATAAGAAACTACATTTATAATAGGACTTGCTTTTTTTTAATAGTAAATGATCATGTGTTGTGTTGTGTTGTGTTGTGTTGTGTTGTGTGTTATGGCATGTTGTGTGGCAGTTCGCCTTTTCCTCCCTACTTATGCTTCATTCAAACAGCTAGGCCATCCCATGCTCACAGCCTAGAGGACAAATGAGACCAGGCATAGCATAGAAACACATGAGTCCACCCTACTTTGTTCTTCAAAAACTGAAGAATAGTAAAGAAAATGAGAGGAATCCAAAACCAAAGCTGTTTGAGAGAAACATTAAATATGAGTAATAGATTTAAGAAAAATACAGCTTTTCCTCAATATTTCCACAAGCCAGGAAGCAGCAGCAGACATGATGTCATGAGAATGGTCAGACTGGTGGTAGCCAGAGGTGGGAAAATGTGAAACACTGTAAGTGATCACCAGCCTAACAAGAGCCACCAGCACTAGAAGACCATCCATCTTTATTTAAGTGGGCACTACTCATCTCTAATATCAAGGGGTTACCCTTGTTGCCATTCCCATTGGCATCTGGCAAGGGCTTCCTGTGAACTGCCACCACCCATTCTTCTAGTCACTTCACAGAAAGACTTTGCATCAAGACTTTTCTTAGTCCTTGTCCAATTCATTTCCATACGAATCCCCCTAGCTACTGCATTCAACATTCTGAAACATAATCCTAAGACTAAAGGGAGACTGAAACCCTGGACACATATAGGTTCAGAAAAAGTAGCAAAGTGAGAGCCTGTCTCCCTTCTCCTCTCTCTCACTCTGTGTGTGTGTGTGTGTGTGTATGTGTGTGTGTGTGTGTGTGTGTGTATTTATGAGGTGATGGTAGCAAATGAATCAATTTAACATCCTCTTCAAAACAATAAGAGTTCTTAATAGAAACCTATTACAAATAAGCAAGGTTTCAGCTTCACTGTGGAGAGAAAATGAGAGTCCATGTATTGAAACTCATCCTTTTTTCTAGGACCTCCAAGCTCTGGTAATGGTCAAAATCCACTTGACCCTCCCCACCAAACATTCTGAAATTCTTGCCATTTGTCTGAGGATGGAGAAGGGATTCCTTATTTAAAATGACAATAGTAATTATGATGATGACTTTGGCTTGGAGTCATCATTGCTTTTCCCATTCTCAACAGAGTTTCTATCAGGTATCATGCAAAATAGTTAACTTCAAGGCCAATCTTAGGAGTATACACTCATTAACAATACATGAGAACCAGGCCGGGCACGGTGGCTCAAGCCTGTAATCCCAGCACTTTGGGAGGCCAAGGCGGGTGGATCACGAGGTCAAGAGATCGAGACCATCCTGGTCAACATAGTGAAACCCCGTCTCTACCAAAAATACAAAAAATTAGCTGGGCATGGTGGTGTGTGCCTGTAATC